TGCTTCAAGAAAAAGAAATGGAAAAGACAGGCGTTTTCAGGGAGGTTGCATAGTTGCACAGATTATTTGTTGTAGAAGATTCTGCAGCTACTTCTGAAATTCTGCAGCTATCGCTGTAAAGGAAGGGTTGCACAAAGGAAAGGGGAGGGCGTGAGAGGGAAAGCTCTTCTGCCAAGAAATGCAGCTGCAGAGCTCATGTCAGAATACAGGTGTGGGTCTGTGTAGGTGGGGCTCAGCACGCACACACAAGGTATGGTCTCAGAGAGCAAATGTCACAGTGTGGGCACAACATATGGGCTGTCCACGTCTGAATGGAGCAATGAAGGAAGATAAAGTAAACTTCATGAGTGAAACATATCAGAGCATATTAAAATGTATTTATTTTGTGGTCTCAAATCAATTGCAAAGTGCTCGTGCTCTTTTTGTGAATGTGCCAGGGCAGCTAAGCACGTTTTGACTTCCTGCGCTGGTTGCTATTATGTCTTTTGAAAAGCTGCTGATTTGGAATGCATATGGTCATTTCAAATCGTTGGCTTTGGCAGAGCTCTGTGATCACAGGAGGAGGATCATTACTCTGTTTACTGTTGTTACCATGCCAATGTGATGCTATATGAGATGAAAGTGCTGAATATAAGTCTTTTATAGTTATGTTTGAACAGTCAAATAAAAGGATGATTTGAACATGCTGAGCATTACTCTTCTCAGATATTCTGATAGAAGACATCTTCCTGATGACATGAAGTATTTCACGGCTGCAGCTTGACTTTCTCAGAATTCCACTGCGGCAGAAGGCAGCACTCCTGCAAGATCAAATATGGTTTAGCATTGCAAAATCTAGCACTTCAAGTATCACTTTAAATGAGATAAAAATGAAAAATCTGTAACAGGTAAAGGAAGAAGCAATAGCAGAAGAGAAATCAAATTGGAACACTTGAAGGTAAAACAAAGCTCCCCCACCACTATTTGGAAACCTCACATCTGGTCTGATCCTAGAAGAGAATGAGATTTTACATCTTTTGCTATTTCTTCCTACCCACAAAACAAAACAAAAAAAAGTGCATTTTTAATTAACTTTAACAAGAAACTGGTATTTATTTTATTTATTTCAGTGGTTTTGGAAAGTGATACTAGCAAAGATAACTGTAGTGGTCTTATAAATGGGACTAATGATTATGTTTTCTTCCTTTTTTCTTTTCCTAGGGTGATGGCATGTGCTGTAGATCAGGTTATATTCCTCTTGCTGTATAGGATCTTTATCTATGCAAGGTAGCCCTTAGATGAGCGGGATTTCCCAGCATACATGACTTTAAAGCAGTGTTAGAGGAGTACCTTGAGATGCAGCAGGTGAAGGGGCCAGGGCTTGCTGGCTGCCAGGGTACAGGTGGGCAGAGGCAGGCCCCTCTGTCCCTCCCTGCCCAGCAGCCCTGCTGAGCCCTGGGAAGCCCATGGTTGGGTCAGGTGCTGGGAGGGGACCGGAACAAGGAGCACTCACTGCACTGCACTGGTCAGTGCTGGGAGGGATCCCCAGTGTGCAAAGTTAATCAAGTTGTGGCCTAATTAAAACACATAGCTGCATTTCTGTCTGCCTGCGGTGCCCAAGACAACAAGCTCCAACAAAGATTCCTGGTGGTGCTGTTTTATGCGTTTCCTAAGAGGTCAAATAACTGTGGCATTTCAGATGTTGATCATATATAGAGAGAAAAGGGTAAGATTTGTTTGCTTTGACCCCCCTAGCAAGTTGGTTTTAGTACCTATTAGTTGACAGTAATACTTAAACCATATTTTGTTCTTTTCCATTCTGTGGTGGCTAAATACTAACAAACAGAAATATTGAACTGATGAAACCCGTTTAAAATAACCTCTACACTGACATATACAAAGTTTTGTAATATATAGAACAATATGAAGTCAAGAGAAAAGTTTCAGTTTTAAAGAGTCCCCAGTGTATTTATGCTATGAATCTGTACAACATCTCTCATGATCGCCTAAACACTCCAACCACTAATGAAATATACTTTACTGGTATTTTTCTGGTTTTCTGAAGGATTATAGAGAATTCAATGGTATTTTAATGGCTGCTCTAAAATGCACCAATCGGTTTTCTTTTTATTCATTTTATCTAACATGTATAAGCAGTAACAGTTACAACACAAAAGCATCTAAGAAAGTGGTGTAATTTTGGACAGTTGTATAATTGAAAGTGCATTTGCTTTAGTGACCATTGCTACCTTTTAATTAATACGTCAAATACCAGAATATCTTGTTAGTAAAATTATTCTGATTTTCCCCCTTAGGCCGTAGTCATCCCTCTCATAGGAAAGCATCACAAAAGAAAACCAAAAGTGGATGACCTATTATTTTTTTATCTGAGAGTGTAACAGTTCATATTCGTTCTTCCTTACCATTCAGGAAACAGTAAGCTACTCTCATTTAACTGACCATGGAAGCAGAATCTGCTTCCCCTGCAGTGTGCCAGGTGATTTCTGCCTGCTTCTGCTTTGGGTTTGTGACAGGAGAAACCGTTGTGAATTCTGGCTTTCACTGAGCAGCTGCTCAATATTTTGAGGACCTGAAAAATACCTGGAAAGAAAAGCCAAAAAACTGATACCTGAAAACACAGCTTTACTCGGGAGCTACAAGAAGCCCCAGCCTGGCTTCCCTCAGCTGTCTGCTGCTCAGGGCTGCCTGACACCTCTTTTTAGTCCTGCAGGATGCTCCTCTATTTATGCTTCTAACAATGTTCCCACATCTCTCCATTAGACTGTACTGGGATCCAGAATCTGGAGAGTCCAGCATCTTCAAGTGGGGAAGGGAGAGTAGGAATTAAAATGGAATTTCACCAATAACCAGACAAATTCCCATCAAAAGCTCATTTTTAGATTTGGTGAATCTTCTTGGTAGGGGAGTGGTTTCTAATAAAGTGCTTTTGGTTGGTTAAACAGAGATGGAATAGTTTTGACCATTTAATTATCCAGAAGGAGAATGATTGAGAAATCAGTGTGCCAATGAGAAAAGTTTGCATTAAAAGGCTCATCAGCCTTATAATAGTAGACAGAAGACTATATGAAACTCATGACAATTGTTTAGCTCTAAGTATTTATCTAACTCATGAAAAGTTAGCTCTAAGTATTGAAGTGACATACATTTTAGACAGAAACATTCTTATATCCTTTATTAACTAGTTTTACGATGTCTTGCAAAAAAAAAAAAAAAAAATGCAGGTGGTCTGAACATCTGCAAGGGCTCTGTCCTGTCTCATTCATTGCCTTATTGCAGCTGCAGAGCTAACAGTTTTTCCTAAGACTATGATTTATTTTTTGAAGAAAAATTCATCTAAGTGATAGCAATACAAGCAAATGAATTTGGACGTACTGAACTGAGATAGAACCACTTGTGTTTTTAGTTTGTTTTCTGCTTAGCAATTCAAAGGATCAACATGTACTGGCTGTGAGCGTTCTTTTTCCTGACAGGACTCACAGAAATGTTATTTAGGCTAGTTAGCCTCTTTAGCCTCCTCAGCTTATCTCCACCCACATGCTGGTTCACTGAAACCAGACACAAGGAGATTCCTCTGCCTCCTCTGTTCCTCTCAGTGTCTCTGGTAGGTGGGTCAGAAAGCCAGCAGGTGCCCTTATGGCCATGCACACTGACCTCAGGCTTCACACAGAGCTGTCGCCTTCCTGCTGCAATACGTCCTTCCTCTCACATGTGAGTTCTATTTGCTGCATTGTCACTTTATTCTGTAACATATTTTCTCTCTGTCCTTTGTCAGATGAGGTTGTTGTAGCTTCCACGGGCTAAAAGAAAGGGAACACAATACGTGCTAAGGGAGATATCATGGCCCTTCCATGCATTCCTTCTCAGCATGCTTTTGTGCCAGAAGCGAGAAAAGGGCCATGATCTGTGCAGAAAATACATATGGCAGGGGAGTAGCATTGTAGCTACAAGATTCAATAGCATTTACTCAGGGAACACTTCTGAGTCGAGAGGATCACAAAGTACAATCTATAAGGATACACATCTCAAGGGGGAGAGAAAAAATCCTCCTGAGGTTATATCGTTGCTGTTCTTATCAAGAAAAAAGATAGCAAGCAGGTAATGTTCAAGGAGAGTGAGGAAGTCCAGTAAATCTGTAATAATAGATGTCTTGAAGTATTACACAGATCAAGTAACCCAACTGGACAAGTTTTATAGATGTTATTTCTCACTCGAGTCTGCTGCTTCTGAAAATAGTTTTAGTTCTGCAGTGCACATGAGAGGAGACTGCTGTCATCTTAAATAACCTGAGGAAAAGGGAGAATTACAAAAATAAAAATGAGATTTAAAGAAGTAGAGAAGGCAAGTTTTTATTCACATCATGGACCCTTGGCTTTCTTCTTGCTCTGAGTGAAGAAGTGCTCCAGAGAAATGAAGCTGTTGGTTAAATAGGGGAGGGAGATTCAGTCATTTTATTTCATTGCTTGATGATATGTTACCATCTTTGGATATGTTGAAATATGGTACCAATTAAGGGCAAACCAGCAAAACTAACCATGAGGTTGATATAAAAAAGGGTTGAAGGACAGCACATAAAATGTTATCAAGTCTTGTCAGTGGTGACAAGGCAGGTAGACTGGAAGAAGCTGGAAGGGGGAGCAATGGACAGCTTCTGTACAGCTCCTTCTGCCAGTACCTATCTTTTTTCTTACTTCTACCAAACTCTAGCTACTGAATTCTCTGCTTTCATTTCTGAGGACTGACCTTCATTATATGACTAGAACAAGACATAAGAAAATGTGTTTATGGTGCTGCAGAGCATTATTTAGAAGGCACTTTTGCAGAAAGTGCAGGAACAGGAACAAAATATTGGCATAACACTGCCAAAATTAATTTAGAATAATTGCTAAGGGAGACTTATATAAGAAATTTACAAATAAGTTATCTAATCTACTAGAATATGATTTCCTATGAACTTGTACCTGATACTCTTCTAATCCTCTTTCTCACTTTGTCTCTTGCAGCTAACATGCCCATCTGCTAAATGGACACACGGAGATGCTTGGCTGGTTCCTGACTTGCAGGATTAATACATGTTGAGATGAAACTGACTTCCCACCAGAGTGTAACTGTCTCTATTTGACACAGTTGCCGACTAATGATTAATGATTCAGAAGTCTTAACTCTATAAATTAGGTTGAAATTGCCCGAATGGTGTCATAAGTTAGTAGTGAAAGGACTGGAATAGACACAAGTAGATAGACGGTACAAGTTACATGTTCTAGTTCTGCTAGAAAATGGAGATTTATCACAGAATCACAGAATGGCTTGTGTTAGAAGGGACATTAATGATTATCAAGTTCCAAGCCCCTGTTGTGGGCAGGATGGCCACCCCAGATCAGGCTGCTCTGCCTCATCCAACCTGGCCTTGAACACCTACAGGGATGGGGCATCCACAGCTTCTCTGGGCAGCCCGTGCCACTGCCTCACCACCCTCTGAGTAAATAATTTCCTCCTAACATCCTATCTAAATGTCCCCTTTTTTAGTTTAAAGCCATTCCCTCTTGTCCTATCACTGTCTGCACATGTAATATTATGTTAACAGGACGTCATTTTAAAGAAGAGCCATCCTGGGAAGTGGTGATTAGCTTCTCTCATGTGTTTTAAGTCAGGGATTGCTTATCCAAAAAGAAGAGAGATGACTGAATTTGCTTTATCTTGCTCATCATGTATATATTTTAGTTAGGAGCTAAAATAAAATATTTAAGTTATCAGAAAAACAGGAGGACTTGCAGTGACTGTTTCCCCAAAAGACTTTTTCCAGACTGCTCACATATGTCAGTGATACAAAGTGGTGCATTTACTGAGATAAAAAGACTTTGCGCCAGAGGGCTGTAGGACACATTGCCTCCTCCCTTGGGGCTACACGTACCTGCTGCAAGACACACTCATCACTTTGCTATCCCTTTCCTTAAATAATAAATGCAATTACCGTTGTTGTTTCCTGGCCTACATGGCTAGGACTTCTGGGTTTTCGTCTGAGTTATGGCTTTGAGCATGCTGAGAGTTTTGGTTTCGAGGAGAGCTTGCTGATCATCTGTTGTGTTATTCATGGCATTGGATATTTCCCAAGATATGGATTCTAAATAGTGTTGTGGTTCACATTCTGTTCTGAAGGAAAAAGTATACTTGTCAAGAACAGTTTTTTGAAAACCAATTTATAATTTATCTTTTTTGTTGTTGTTGTCGACAGTCATTTGTGGTTAGCTTGAAATGACATGAATTTAATATCTTTATTCTATTTACTAGTTGAGTAATTTCCATAGATAATTCTTGATTTAGGAATTGTTTCATTTGTGAAATTCAAACAGGCCAGGTAACTGCCTGTTCCCTGTCCAGCCAAACCCTTCAGGATGACCTTTCTGTTAAATCTAGGTAAAACGTCAAAAACTCTTTTCTTTTGAGTGTTCCTTCATAGTTGCTTATGATGCAGCTTATTCACCTATTAGAAAAAGTATATAGGAATTGTCAGCACAATAAAAGGAAACTAGAGTTATTCATGCAAATAACTCTTTATGATTTAAAAAATATTGCTTTTTGCATCTTGTGTTTTATGCTTATTAAATGTGAGTGGAATAGTATAATGAGTATAAATTTTTGCTAAAACAGTCAAATGAAGAAGTAGATACTTCCTGGGACATACTACTGAGCTAAATGTGAGGTCCTGGTCTCTCTTAAAGTATAAATTGATTATATGATGTCAAACCAGCTGATCCAGTGGTATCTCCTCATTTAAAATCTTATGATTTATCTATGCCATAGATATTGTACACACCTCTATATTTGAGTTATGTCTTGCACTTCTCTGTGGTACTTAGCATTGACAGGGTAAAAACATTTACATTTTAAAGTGATTTTTACTGTAAGTTACTGTAAGTTAGTGGCAATATAGTATCTGTATGCTCTTACAGTCTGTCTATAAATATGAGGGTGCTCTAAAGGCAGTGCCTCTTTTTATTATTTTGGCCCATGAAATCAAAAGCAGATGTCAGTGGAATGGTAGGAGGGGTTCTTAATATTCCGTTCCATGTTGTTGCCATGTGACAGATGGCAGCAGAGGGGCAGTCTGACAGAATGGTGCCTGACATGGAAGTGCAAGTGATGCAAAGGCGTGTCACTCAGTTCCTCTGAGTGTGGAAACAGTGGCACCCAGTGACATTGAAGCTTGCTGAACCTTTGTGGGGACCAAACAGTGGATGTGAGCACAGTGGGTGGTGTGTTTCAGCAGTGGTGACAGTAAGTCATCTCCTCTCGTGCAGATTTTTATGAGTGCAGCATGCAGGCTCTTGTTCATCATGGTGCAGCTGTGGTGACTATGTTGAAAAAGGACGTTTTATAGCTGAGAACTTGCTCTATCAAATAGTGTTATTCAGCTTTTTGTATCTGTTGTAGTTTCCGTGGAAATAAATAGGAAGCATTACTTTTAGAGTGACCTACATATAATACCTATATGCAGTAGGTACAGAAATGTTGTATGTATGAAAGCTAAGGAAATATATTTGTGGCATGTTATGATTAGAAAAAAAGTCACCCCTTGAAGATGCTTAGAGGTTTGAAACACTAGTATTAGTCCTTGGAGAGAGGATTGTGGTTAAGCAATTATAAATGCATGCTAAATTAATGAATCCCACTGGTTTATCACATAGCTGAGGTTTTTGAGGGAATATTTGTAGAATATTCATCCACATCCAAGAATTTCTCTTCAGTGTTATGTCTTGCTTAATGTCACGGATACAAAAGATTAAGTCCTGGGGCAATAGGTTATCTGTTCCTATGCTGTAACTTTCATTGTGCTTTATAACTGTAAATCACACAAGGCAAATATTTGTATTATTTAATTTCTTCTCATTCCAAATTACCACAGATAGTATGTAACTTAAAACTGTCAGCTCTCTCTCCATAAAAACAGTATATTTTAAATAGATTAGTGGTCCTTTGATATTGAGCAATACAGAGATTCAGCTCAACTGATGTCAGAACATCTAAATACCAAGAATTTAATACCTCCAAGTTTGAGATATTCAAGTCCAGTTTAAGTGTCTGGGCTGGGCTGTGCTTAACAAAGAGGGATGGGAAGTACTGAGGCCTCACAGGCACAGCCCATTAGGAACTCACCCTTGGGGGAAAAGAGCCCTTTCTGGGGTCCCTGATCTTTGCTCAGAGCCTGAAGAAATAATCCCAGGCAGAAAGCTCAGGCTGAGGGAGAAGTATAATTCATAATAGTGCTTTTAATCTCTCTTTACCAGAAAAAAATAAAAAATAAAATAAAAAATCCAGGATCATTTATGAGTATTGTATATGCATATTTGCAGAGACATATGTATGCCTCTGATACGTGTGCCAGACTCCGAGTGAGTTTACAACAATTGTACTTTACAAAGCAAAGGGGCTGGGCTGGTACATGGGGTTGTGACATACTGGCACTTCTCCCAGGCTGCCAACACATACAATTGAATCTCATTTTTCATTTCTGTTCCTCTTGTGAAAAATAAGGCTTAAAAACATTTATTGAAGTGCAAACCGATGCAGAGGTGTCTACCCACTGGTAGCCTAAACCAGAGCTGCTGAGGGATGTGAACTGGCCTTTCATTTCAGTAGCTGACTCAGAGGTTATATGGCAGTGCAGAAGTCAATGTTAAGTGCTACTTTGTAAAAGAGTGGGGAGGAATCCCATCCAAAAGATTTACACAGCTGTCTGAGTGGCTCTTTTGTCTTCACACAGATGAAGCCACATCTCCATGTTCTTAAAGTCATAAATAACATCCCAACATGCTAGTGGATATCCCCCCAGCTGATACTTAATTTTTATGCTAAGATGTAAAGTCTAGATTTCCATTTGTTATGCTGTTTGTACTCTTTTGGCCTCTACTTAGTATGAGCTGCTTTTTTACCGGCTTTGGATTAGATTTTCTTACAGGTTAAAGTTCTCTTCACCGTGCTCTAAATTAAACTTCTGTGCCTTTTCAATCTGCATACATTCTTTGTCAAGGATGATACAGAAGACACTAAGAAGTTCATTAAAAATATGATTAATTAATTTTATTACAGTAGCACTTAGAAGCCCCTGCTGAGACAGGAGACCTATTGCAGTGGGAACTGTAGGGACAGATAAAAGAGTGAGTTTCTGCTTCAAAGAGCTGAAAATTGAACCAGAAAAGACATGTTTCCCTTGGCTTCAAGGGAAACTGAATAAGGGCTTTTGTGGTATTCTTGAGCAAGCTGGAAGCACCATGTTTCATTGAAACCTTTTCTTTTTCATTCTGCAGTTTCATAAAAAATACATGATGAATGAACCCGGATTCAATTTTCAATTAAATGAATCTCAGACTATCTGGTTCTCTCCCTCCCTGCAGCCTGTACCTTTTGCTTTCTCCATTCTTCCTCTGCAGGAACTATACAACAGCCCTGTGCTCCCTGATCTTCTTCCTGCTAACTTGTTCAGACATCTGCGTTTGTGTCTTGTCATCACATTTATAATAGTGAATTTTCGCGTTTCAAAACAGGATCTACTGCTCTTTTTTGTTAGCGCTATAGTTATTTGAAAATATTCAGACCTTTCAAAGAAGAGAAAGAAAAAAAAGGAGGAAGGAAAGAATGGCTTCCCCTCCCTTAGCCCCTTTCTACAGGTTCTGATAGCAAAGGAGTTGGAGAAATGCAGGATGAGAGGTGCAACAGTTAAAGACTGTGCTGTCTTCTACCACTAGCCTTGAGTCAATTTTTCTTCAATGTACAATAAAAGTGAAAAAAGGAAGGGTGCAGAGCTGAAGGTTTGTGTCTTTGTTCATGCAAAGGCAGAGAGAAATGTGACTTGAAAAACAGGAGATTCCAGCAAGCTGCTGAGTTCACAAAACAAATCTTGCTTTGTGCTCAGATTTAGCCTTCTATTTCCCAAGTTCCTGCTCTGTGGCTGCTGGGGTACCCCTCTAAGCTCTCTCCCACCACCCTAACAGTCTGGGGAGAGGCTGGGCCGAATGGGCAAGGTGGTTGGGGTTGGGACA